GTGTCTACAGTCGTCGGTATATTTCTACTGGAACCACTAGGGATTTGACGGTCAGTGGACGGTCTAATTCAGACGTTTACCAACAGGAATAGCAGACGTCTGGTGAGACATATCACAATAACAGGTGACGTCATCCATGAATATGAGAACCAGGCGGGCGGTCAGACCAGACTGTTTACAGTGCCACTCAGAGTCACACAGAACAATAACAGTGATATCTGTGTTGTGGATGATGCTAGCCTTTCTACAGCTAATCTAGTGGGTATTTCTTCCTCTGGTCAAAGGAGGTTTCTTTACCTTGGATGAAACCTGAAAATGAACTTAAAGGGAACTGATGTTGCCTGTGACTCCCTCTGTAACATCCTTGTTACCGATTTTCACAATAATCAAATCTATCTGTTGAGTCCTGAGGGGGAGTTCTTGAAGTTCCTACAGACAGAAAACGAAATGAGGCACCCACGCTCTTTATCTGTGTATAACTCTACACTTTAAGTAGGAGAGAATGAAGGAAATGTCAAAGTTTTTTCGCTTCAAATAAATCAGACCTGATAATTCATGTGAGACAAACAACAAAAAAGGAATTTCTTATAAAAAGGTCATATTTTACTTTCCACAATGCTACACTGTGTTTAAGATCCGCTTTTAAGCTTGTGAAAGTGCCTCAGTTAAAATAACTTAAAATGTAAGGATTACTTTCATTCATATTAAATTAATCATCATAATCACTGCATGAAAGAACATCCTTACCAAAATCACTGACCTGTTCTTTATTACACATGATTGTTTTTTTTTTCAAATTATGTCTCTCCTTTAAACACGTTAAAGGGGAAAGTATTTTATAAAAGTTATGGATAAACACGTGTGTTTGCTATGAATGTTACGTATCGGTATGTCGAGGAAGGTTCATTTGGTTTAAAGATAAATAGAAATGAATCCGCTGAATTCAAGTTCATACTTTGTATAGGAATATTTTGAGCTTTGTATTATAAATAATTTATGTTCGTTGAACTAGATAGATAATTGGAGCATAAATTGTTTCCATACAAACTGATAAGCCGTTTTTTTTTCACAATGGATTGTGTACAGTTTTTTTTTCCTTGGTCATGGGTCTCATCACAAGGAGCACACGACGATCCTGACACCTTATCTTACTTCTGATCTTTTAAGATGTTTATTTAAGCTTTGCTTCAATCAATATTGTTTAAACAGACTGTGATTATTGTTTGTTATTTTCATTTCTTATTTCAAGAAGTAAGAAGGGTGGAGTTTAAGACTTCTGTGATTTAAAAAGTTTTATGCAACACATTAAGCAATACGAGGGCTGTTCAATAAATAATGTGCTCGGTGCTTGGAAAGAAGCAAAACACGGTTTTCAATAATTTAGTCTAAATAATTTAACGAAAAGCATAACACGATTCGTTTAAGGAACGTGTCCGCCAACTTTGTTCTCATCCTCGCTATATCTGTAAACCCCTATATAAAGAGCAGGACTTGGTCACTGTTCAGTGTAATCAGTTGACACCAGTGTAGACGGACGTATGCTATACAGCACTCGGTAGCAACAATTATAACGTAATACGTCGCAGGAAAGCAAGATACCAAAGAAACTAATTACAATTCTAGTTACATAGGTCAGTGCAGTATACAAACACAGATACACGTAACTGCAATATAATATGTAAACAAAGGTAATGCAAGATAACCAGCACGAACACTGGTACCCATTCCACGCCGATACCTGTGACAATAAAGCAGTCAGGTGTAACGAATCTGAAGAGTATACCCTTGTGTTGATGTATCGTAGATAATAATATCGAAAATGGCGTATGCCTATTTACAAGTCGTGTTCAGCTTTAGATAATCTGTTTGAATTAAAACACATGTCTGTTGCATTTTTATCTAATTTTCTGATTGGTTTTAGAACTCATTTTTGAGAATGGCCCTTCGTATACTGGATTATAGCAGACCTTATATGATTTCAAGGACTTGTTTTTTCTGTATGAAAGGTGTTTTTTTTTCAAGTTTGGAAAATGAACCAAGTCAAAGGGTAACAGATCTAACGAAAACTATTGTGTGACAAAATATAACCTTCCTGTTTATCTCTAAAACTATTACTCTTCATGGCGTGTTGGTTTGGACGCTGTTGTGAAGAAATGTAATGTAGTGGATTCCTGGGATTCCTGATTCTAGTTCCGTCCTCTCAAAAACCTTTTGATTTTTTTTTTCAAGAAAAATGCTTTCTAGACTTCTCCAGAAATTGAACTGCCTCCCCGAATAAGAATTTGAACAAAAAGACCACAAATATTTATAATAAAATGGCATATAAAATGTTTTTGTAATTCTTAGCTCTTTTCAGACCTTTGCTGTTTCTGTCAGGTTCATCTTCTCTAAAGAATGTTTTGAAGGTGATAAATCAATGGACTCATGTCTCATTATATGTTTGCATTTCAGACAAACGTGGATAACTACAATTTCTGATTTTTTAAAAAATAATTGTTTGGATAAAAGGTGTTTTTTTTTGAAAACCTGAAATGTGCTGAAGCTTTTCAATAAATTGTTTGGAAATAAGTTAACAGAAAACATGCCTGTGTATTCACAATTTGTGTGTGTGTTTTCAGAAAGAGGACAAAAGTCAATTTATATCAAACAGTATTCATAATTGAATATCATTCTACACATTATATCAAAATATTTATCCTGAACACACATGGCATTTGTTGAATTTTGAAATATTACATTTTTTGCAAATTCATTTACACATTTTGACGTCATTACGTACATATGACGTTTGAAATATTCAGTCCTTGTCGCCAAGGCATATAGTTCTTTGTTGTGTGTTTTACCATATGTTTGTTGAATTTAGTGCCCATTATATCATTATTGTTCATTAAAATTCACCTGCTCATGTGTCTGTAAAACAGGCATTGGTTGCTGTAAATATAATAAATTTCAGTGAATATTTATTTTGAAATCTTATCAAGTTTACAACAGCCTTAATGAAGCGTTTAATTTCACTCTACTTTACTGATTCTTTACCATTCATTTTTAATGCAGAGTCTCAAATAGCCCTTGTTTTCAGCTTCTCACAATGTGAATATAAGATGAACAATGGTTACATCAACTGATATCAATTCATTAAAGATTCAGTCATGAGAGAAAGTCACGCCTAATGTCATATAATATCTGTATTGTATGCCATAGAGTTCAGGACATTATTTATTGAACAGCCCTCGTATGCTAAGTAAAATCCAACTTGCAGCAATGTAGCTAAAGAATGTATGACAGTCTATACAAAGCCTTGGTATTTGCAACAATTTGCGGCAAGTCTGCAGCAAGCTTGCAGCAAACATTTAAGCATGCAAATGAGGTTTGCTGCAAGTCTGCAGCAAACACTGGATTTTTCAGATATGGAAACATTGCTGCAAGCTTGCGGCAAACATTGCTGCTAACTTGCAGCAAACAATTTCCGTATGGTTTTGGCACATTTCTGTGTACTAACAGCAAGTTCGCAGAAAGCCTTTGTCCTAACCTAAATCTGTTAATTTAAGAGAAAATCCACCACATATTTCTGAAATAATGCAATTTCATGAAGTTTTGATAGGTTCTCTTTATTGTCCTCGACAAAGCTTCCATATTTTTTTTTTTAATTTAAGTGCATTATAGTTTTTTGTATAGGAACAGAACATTAAGAAATTGAAATATAATTTTGTCTGTAATTACAGTTACTAATTCATTTGAAAACATTTAACTGATTTGGGTCCATTAATACATTTAAGAAGTATACATATATGATATTAAGATGAGGACTGAAATTCATAATAGACTTAGATTTGACCTAGCTGTTACTCAAACATGCTTTTAAGATTTTTTTTATATCAAAATAAAACAAAATCAGATCTTACCAGTTAGATATCATGGATGCCAATGAACACCTACATCCAGAGTTTTACACTTTTAATCATTCAAGATGGTATATATTCCTAACAAAATACTGAAACATGCACAGCTTCAATTCACACATTTCAAAATGGCCAGTTCTGTGTTGAACACAGTTCAATCTGTATTTCATTGGCTGATTTGACTTGTTTACTGTTCTTGCGAACTTCCTGCAAACATTCAAACCGTAAAATGTTTCCAGCTAACTTGCTGCGAACATTAAATTGGCGTGTATGTTTCATGCATTGTTCCTGCAAACAAGTTGGGTTCCTGCGAATTTGTTGCAAGCTTGCAGCAATTGCTGCGATGTTTGCCGCAAGATTGCAGCTAGTGGCAATCATCTGCGAACAAGAAAATTTTCTTTCTGCGAACAATGTTGTTTGCTGCAAGCTTGCAGCAGACTTGCTACAGGCCTGAAGCAAACATATCAGTTTGGTAAGGGATGTCAACAATTATTATATATACTACTACATCGTATTATTTATCATCTCATTTTATTCAAATTATTACTTTTAATATAAATAAGTTTGAAATAAAACCAATATAAATTCATTATAATAACTTTTAACACAATTTTTTTGTATTCTGTATTATTTTATACGTCTGTGAACTTCTGTCAAGCGTTTATAATACAAGGTATCTTTCGCTACACTAATACTCGGTTGACAAACATACTTAATTTGATCTTTTTTGTAGGATTTCAATAATAACTTAACAGTGATATTTAAAAAATGATAGCAAAGTAGAGGATATAATTAAATAATACGTGTATATCACATATTTTGTTAGTAAATATTACCTTATCACTCATACATACACCCATTTTGTCTGTCATCATCGTCAAAAAGTTACATGACAAAAACCATGTTTTTACAAAATAACATCGTACTTAAATGATTTCCTTTTTTCTAAGCATTGTTAAGTGACATTGTATCTTACTAACCATTTAAATATGACGTAATTAAAAACTTTGTTCTGAAGTATGCTTTAAAAACTGTAAGAGTAAGTCTCAAAATATCAACTTCTACATGTAAACAGAATAAAACAAAAATTTAGAAATATTGTAAGATCTATATGAAAATAAAAAAATAAAAATGCCTTATTAAATTTCATATGTATTTGTATATACTTACATATATATAACATTATAATATGGTCACAATCGGATCATTTAAACATTCTAATGCATATTCATGAGTTTGGAAGCATTAAAAGACATTGTTTTCTTTCAGCGAAGTCTTAAACCAATATTTCCAAATCGCCCAGACACATCAGAGTTTGGCGTATATCATTGTTTTGGGTCATAGTACAGATCACGTGGTACGCTGGCGTTCTACTAGTCGTTCCCGTACGGGTCTTCGACATCGGAAGTGGGTAAACTTTTCCCGGTCTGATTGTATGTGACATACTGGACAGGGCATTGGTCATTCATAATCAGCGACTGAAGATAAGAATATTACATAAAAATGTACATGTAGAGTTCAAAATTTTAAATTTTGGGGGATTTTACCTAAGTAATCATTTTTTGCCATTTTATGTAAATACATGATCGATTTTGTGTATCAACTCTTTTAAAGTTGAGTTTAGAAAAAATTAAGTAAAACAGGAGGCAAGACACTATAATGATTAAGGGATAAAAAGATTGATATACGAAGCTGAAATATTTTACCATCTTCTCTTCTCGTCCTGGGGGGTTCCGTATCCAGTATAGAAGTGGAGCGTAGATCAAGTTAATTATTGCTATTATCCATAGCATCCTACAGGTATACAAATTTTATTATATATAAGCAATGCCTTTATGTAAAAAAAAAAAGCACCAACAAATATATACTTAAGTCATATGCTTTAAACTTGAACAATTGACTGGCCACATTTTAGAACTTTTTATTCCTTAATTTGTTTCTTTAGTTTTAAAACACCTTTTTTTTTACAGTTTAAATTACAAAAAGTTTAATTGCTTACCAGTTAAATCCTATTTCTTTGACCAAGGTTCCACTAATTGCAGGACCTTGAAATAAAAAAAAATAAATAACACTGTCAATATTATACGATCTAACATTTGCTTCGTATATGCATAAAAGAAAGTGAACTGCAAAAATTACATTCATCGAGTGCAAAAATTTATTTTAATTTTATGCATTTCATACCAAAGGCAAATCCTAGACAAAAGGTGAAGTCTGCAATAGCATACACACTACCATACACAGAGACATGACGAAGATCAACAAGGTATCCCATGTGTGGCATCATAGAGGAATCCACCATACCTATACACAGTCAGGTAAACAGGTAAAAATAAGCTTACATGTATTAAAGACTAGTTCCTTATAGAGTTAAGCCATTGCAGTTCAATGTCATATATTCTGCCTCGAAGTGAATTTTTCATTCCAAAAACCATAATGGTTTAAAATCCCTTAAGTGCAATGAAATAGGCGAAGAAAAAAAAACTGTTTTCGATTAAAAAGATTTTAATAGTACAACACAAATCTGTGAACGGGCCTAGGACAGAGTTGGCTCAGGTGAATAGGAGGATTAAGCAACCCCTATACTTGTCACATTCGCCTTGCAATGATAATATAATGCAAATGACCAAATTTCGTAGAGAAATTAGTCTGACTTTCCGTAATAAAGATAACTTAACGCAGATAACTAAATTTTGTAGAAACATTTCACTCACTGTGCTTTTCTTACCTAATGCAAAACCAAGTCCAAAATTTGGTGCTATCAAATGATATATATTTTTTGAAAATGGAATCTGGAAAGAAATAAAATGGACTTATTAATATTTTTCATTCAAGAATTAATTAATGTATCGATATATAATTAAGATATGGACAAATGATTAAGTTAAAGAAAGTTGATCATAATAAAGATAGAAAATAAGATATCAATTGATAATTATAAATAATATATGATTACTACGATATCGATGGATAATATCGGAAACACTTACAGCTATTAAGCAAACTCCTATAATAATCAGTCCGATTAATGAACTGAGCCACCTGTAAAATTAAACCATTCCTAATCAATCATTATCAGCTTGAAGCCACACTAATAGAAAAAAAGCTTTACAAATATAAACAGCGTTTGATATCCTACAATAGTTCAAACGTCTACAAGAAATCTTTATTTTCTGTATCCATGTAACTATAATAAGATATGCCATACCTCCCCATTTTGTGGGCCAGTTTACCAAAAGTAGTTAAACCTATTAGGAATGATATACTGACTGGTAAAAAGATGGCCCCTGGAACCAATAGAATTCATTGTTAAAATTGAATACATGAATCATTCTTCTGGATCCAAAGTCTGTAACTTATGAATCAGCTATAAATAATGCAACCTTTTTTAAGCAAAAGTAAGATAGACATTTTTTTGATTATCATTATTAGTAATTTTATTATTTTATTATTTTTATTATTTTTTTTTTATTTTAATTTGTTAGTAGAATTCAAAAGAATAATCCCTTTAATCCTATAATCACCAGAATTAAATTTTTAACAATGTACATATTAGAGACATAATTGAACATTTAAAAGAACTTTCAAAAAATGTCAAAGAATTTGCATGGGAGAATGTTAAGAAAAGTTTTTTTTTCATTAATGTTCATTCATTTTATGATTGGATGAGTCTATATTGACCCTTATTTTTAAACGCACTATATGAGCCTAATAAATGCTTTACTGCATGCTTAACACTAGAAATAAGTACCAGATTTTTAATATAAAGAATGAATATATGCATAAAACATTTTTAAATTCATTTATAAGGTGAGAACCTCGTAAGTTATTAGAATTTGTTTCCGAACTTTTTATATAATATCTACAAACAATAAAATAAAATATTTAACAAGAGGCCCACGGGCCTTATAGGTCACCTGAGTATCATGTAACAACTTTCCAGCGATTGTATTTGGTTCGTGTTTTAATCCAAAAGCCATGAAATTCACAAATTTTGAAGGAGGCACCATTGCTTATCAAAGGGCAGATTTCAAAGCATTAATTTATTTTTAGTCAAAGTACCCCCTGGTACCCCTGACCCAGCGGCCCTGAAATTATCTATTTTGAAAGAGACCCCTTTCTTCATTATAAGGCCAGCATTTTTTTATGTTTAGGTTTAGTTATGGACATGAGAATAAAAAAGTCCCGAAGGAGAAGGAAATAAAAAAAAATTGATAAATCAATTATTAACATTTGTACATTCTTTTTTTATGCTATTCTAATAGGCTCCTTACCACTGGACACATAATGCTTACAAATAGGAAAGTAGAACATTTAATTGCTTATTTCATCATCTGCCAGTTTGGGCCAGTTATATTTATAAATTTTGTGATGTTGGTCAAAATATATTTTAAAAAATCAATTCTTTAAAAGTCTTTCAATATATCTTCATTTTTTAAATATGTGTTAGGTGAATGTGTAGACATTGTTCTAAAATTTACTTGATGCCTAAAATTATAATTCCTATCATAAAACAGACAGGGAGTATTGGGAAGTAGGGTGAACATTTTTTCAATTAAGTGTAAAATAATTTTTCTGGCTGATACAAATGACAAATGATACTACATGCCTGTATATATTTGTATATTCTTGCCGCCTTTTAATAGTTGAATTTTTTTTTATTTCTTCAGGTTATTGTTTATTTCTTCCTCAAATGGACTTAACTTCTCACATTGTTTTATTCATTACATCTGATGCATAAGCAACCCTTTTCTGAAGAATGATGCTTAGACTGTAAGCTATAACAGAGACCTAAACTGTAACAATGTCGCTGGCAATATGCAGTAGCTACCACGAGCAGTTTAAAACCTGGGGGAGGAAAATAATTCACAGACAGATACTTTTGAAAAGAATACATAATTATCTCACCAGCATGTCATTGTGCAGCAAAGTCGTCAGCATTTTATTTGTCCTTTGAACGGGTGAAACGTTTTGAATGGCACTCGTATCGATGAATTTTACACTAAACAAAGCTATCTTCTCAGATCTAGCTTTATTTATCCGCTTTTTCATCTTAAAACCGGAAGTGCGAGTTCGTAAATTTGAAATCTCGATCCCGACTCAAATTTGACATCGGAAAGAAAAAAAATTATTTTATTTTTTTCTGAAAATTCAAAACCTTGAGCGGAGGGTTTGTAAAACTGAAATATGTAATTAGATCATTAGTATATTAACCAGGAGCAAAGGATAAGATGTTCAAAGAATTCATGCATTTCACTATATAATCATTAGGGCCCCACCCTAAAACAAGAACCCCTGACCCTGGGGCCATAAAATTCACAATTTTGGTAGAGACACTCTTGCTCATCATAACTATGTACTTAGTTAGTTTATTTAATACCCAGGAGCAGAGAAGAAGATTTTCAAAGAATTCATGTATTTTCACTATATAATCAATAGAGCCCCGCCCTAACACCAGAATCCCTGACCCTGGGGCCATAAAATTCATAATTTTGGTAGAGGCACTCTTGCTCATCAGAACTATGTACTTAGTTGGTTTATTTAATACCCAGGAGCAGAGAAGAAGATTTTTCAAAGAAATAATGCATTTTCACTACCTACTTATTTATCCCCGCCCTAGCACTAGAACCCCTGACCACAGGGCCATGAATTTCACAATTTTGGTAGAGGACTCATTGCTAATTACAATCATGCAAACAGTTTGACTGCTTGATGTCCAGGAGTAAAGAAGAAGATTTTTAAAGATTGCATTAATTTTAGTGGTTTTTGCCCCACCCCTCAGGCCCCAGGGGGGCAGGGATCATGAAATTCACAATTTTTGTTCCCCTTCACCCATAAATGCTTTGTGTCAAATTTGGTTGATATTGGTTCAGTGGTTGCAGAGAAGAAGCTGAAAATGTTTAAATGTTAACGCACGACGGACGACGCACGACGCACGACGACGGACAAAACAGATAGCAATAGGTCACCTGAGTTTACTCAGGTGACCTAAAAATTTAATGCTATATGCAGGTATCATCAATACCTTGCTGCCATTCCGGAGATCCCATAGTCTCAAACATCCATATCGGCAGGGAGGGCTGCATCATCGCAATACCCAAGTAAGCAAACGTAATGGATCCTGAATTTATTTTGTAAACTTTCTCCAATCAATTTTTAAACAAAATAAACAGTCATCTCGATAGAAATAATTGAATTCTAATAAAATGTGTGAATAGCATTATGTTTAAAGTTTATCAGTTCAGTGATTTTGGATGTGAAAAATGCTTAAGTATTTTACCTAATAAACTTAAAAAATATACTAGTAAAATTCAGACCTCCACCTCCCATTTGAAACTGGTATATGATCAAATATTCCTTTGGATGAAAGAGTTTGTACATTATGTAATAGAGAGCACACAGCAGCAAATATCAGATTTCATTTGATTTTTGAATGTAAATGAAACTTTGAACAGCATCAGAAAGTACATGTATTTAATTCTTACACCCAAGATTTTGTAAAACTCCAAATAAACTTCTCAACCAATTTCGGCATATAGCATTTATATATCTTAAAATTTCTTTACAAACATAGCGATTATGAATTTTTTTCCCAAATATATCAATATACAATAAATTGTTTTTTAATTAATATAAGTTAATTAATACTTAAGGAATTTTTTAAAATATCATATATCGATATATATATATATATTATAGTAAAAATAGATACTTTGATTTACTTAAGTGGGAAAAAAGTAATTAACTAGAGTAAACTGTAGTTAACTACAGTACTTGCTATTAATGTAAAGCAGATAAACTGTGCATAATTATGCTGGAGGTGCATATTCCAAAATTGTCAGGGGTCAGGGGTTCTCGTGTTAAGACAGGGCGCAATTGAATATATAGTGAAAATGAATTAATTCTTCTCCTCTGCCTTTGAGTATTAAGCTGATAAACGATATGATAAGGAATGGTGCCTCTTTCAAAATTGTCAATTTCATGGCCCCTGAGGTAGAGGTCTGGTTTTAGGGTGGGGCTCCATTATGTAGTGAACACACATTAATTCTTTGAAAATCTCCTCTACCCTGGGTATAATTATAATTATGTAATTAAACAGTTATGATTAGCAATGGTGACTCTTTTAAAATTGTATATTTCATGGCCTCTAGTTTAAAACAATCCAAATTCAATTGATGTTTACCTATAAGACCCGTGGGCCTCTTGTTTTTTTTCTAATGTTCTGTTACCCACTACGAGGATTGTAAAATACCTTACCCGCTGTTATAAGTATATATGGATCCCTCAGAAGCTCTGATAAGGAAGCCCCTGATTTAGACTCGGGCTTTACAGATGGCTGCAGCATAAACATCCTAAGTACTACAAATCAAAGCATGCTCAGTTAATACTATTCACTTGGGCTCATCTATACTGTACATGTATACAGGGTTATTTTCGCCCTTTCACACTTGCAAACATTTTTTGTTCCGTATTAAATTGGTTCAGAAAAACTTCTGTTTAAGATTTTTTTAATGTCTTATTTGAAATTTGCCTACTTGAGTTGAGGGCAAAAGGTGCGAAAATAGAAGGGGCGACAATTTTTTGTTATAATGTAATCTCATACAGTTAATAAAGTGGTGAACTTACAGCCGCCTACTAGGGCAAGGGATGATAGAATGAGAAAAGGTGCTTCTTTTCCAGCAAATTCATATATGGTACCCCCAAATAATGGCCCAACTGTAAAAATAACAATAGAAATAAAAAAAAAAAATAGCAAGCCTTCTTTTTGGTGTTACTGATTTTAATATAATTATGTTCAGTTAGAAATATTTGAAAGCATTACGAATTTAATTAGAATTTATATAAAACTGTAAGAAAAGGAATCAGTATCAAATTTTTAATTTGGCATTTTGGAACTACTCAGCATGATATATCATAACATATACGTAAGAATTTAAAGTGCAATGGTGACGCCAAAGTTCGATGGTCTCGCCAAAATCCGATGGCCTGCGCCAAATCCCGATGGCTCACTGTCTTACGGACGCCAAAGTCCTATGGTCACCACTGTATACAAAGTGCTAATCGAAAATCTACTTGATTTGGATCACTAGCTATATTTGTTTGGATCATTCGAAGTTTCTATCTGCACATTTAGACAAAAAATATGCTTTAATATACGTTTTTTTTTTACTGATAATAAAACTACTTCAAACAATATGAGACTTCTTCTTGGTATATTTAAAGATTATCATATTTTTGTTTCATCTACCCCTCCATAAACATCGGTAGCACGCGTTTTTCACGCATCTAATCATCCACTGGAATGGACTGATGACATTATTTCAATAAAACATTTATTGTAATGTTTAATTTGAATCCTTATCAAACGTAAGCTATCAAATTTGACTACAAGGTCTTCTTTATATCTTGACAATTACATCAAATAGGCACCTACCCAACTTTTCCAGAGCTATTTTAGGTTTGCGTAGAAAATATCTAGAAAGCTATCTTTGTTGTCTTGACAGCTATATACTTTTTTCGAGTATACATATCGCATATAGGCCTAGTGCAATTTGTAAAATAATTTATTGACGTTACTTTGTGTTTAAAACAGTACTGTACAATATTTTCTTAATTCCTCAGACTCCTCTTCCATTTCAACAATGGCCCAGTCCATAGAAGGTCCATGTGTCATATGCTCACCTTAAGCGTTTTATGTTCAATAGGTGAGTGTGATACATATGTATTTATATAAATTATGGAAAAGTAGTGTGGCCTGTGGCAACGCACTTTGAATTTTTTTTCAAAGTGCGTTAAATTTTGGAACACACTCAACACACTTTGAAAAAAAAATTCAAAGTGCGTTGAGAGTGTACATCAACATTTTTTACCATGGGGACATTTAACGCACTTTGAAAAAAAAATTATAAAACAAAAACTCAAGACTAAAATTTTAATAATAGAGAGAATCAATTTAATTGTAATAATTATATCTTTCGAAAATCTTTTTTAATTTACATGTATTGATTTAACCTCAGTGAGAACAAGGAGAAGACGAATAAAATTAAAGTCTCTCACACAACTCTTTTTTTCTTATACATGTATATAGCCGTCGGTAGCAAATTGAAAGTAGACCCCCCCGCAACGTAAGCCCCAAATTTCAATGAACATATCATGTATATCTTTGCAAAACATTTGTGTTTCGAAGCTCCCCCCACCTTTCACTGTACCGATGCCTTTGTGACACCCAAATATATGTATTTGCATAACTAGTATGATGTTGAAAACTTTCAATGTCTTATTTTACATAAAATGCATGGAAACTGGAAAACATTAAGTACAGTAAAACATTTAAAAGATAAAGAATTTTCAAAGTATGGAAAAATCAAAATTGCTCACTGTCACATCCTGAAGTTACCTTATCACCGAAAAGTTATCCAAAAGATTCAATTATTTATCATACCTAAGATTTGCAAGAATATTGACCAAGTCATGCCCATTTTTTTTCAAAGTGCGTTAATATGGTCGATATTAACGTACTTTGAAAAGAAATTTTATTTTTGCAAAGTGCGTTGCTTGGTCCCTAATTTAACGCACTTTGAAAATTTTTTTCAAAGTGCGTTGTAACATAGCTATAAAAATTTATTTTTGAATATGAACGGATCAGGTTTCTATTTGAAGTCTTGTGTTTAAATTACGGAAAAGTAAATGCATTGTGTTTTTTTTTTTAAATGGCGTCCGAACCAATTCTATCTAAAAGTCGAATATTTCTGAAATAAAAAAAGTGAGGATAATGAGCATTGATTTATGTCGAAAAATATGCAAACAATACAAACATTTGAGCAGGGCATAAATACGGATCCCCCCTCCCCGGAATACCAGAGATGGCTAGGAGGAGTAAGCATCCCTTGTTGATCGGTCACATCTGCTGTGAGCTCTATGTATTGATCAAGTAAACGTAGCATTTCGTAATCAAATTAAGTATAAAAACAAAGGTATAACAGTTGGGTGAAAGAAGAAAGGAAAAAAAAACGACCCAAGATAAATTAAATGATAGGTTGAAAAACATTATTTGTCTCAACAAATTCGTTTCTTTATAGCAAACTGACACACAAACATCAAGAAGACACTGTAACATATCGTGGTTAACGCATTCAGTATTACGCCTATCATGAGCTTTGGAAAAAGTTCGATTAGCTTGTGAAGCCCTTTTTTCCGTTTTTACATACCTTTAAACATAAGTGAAAATATATTACGTGTATTTATCAATAAGTTATTTAATGACATAAACTTGAGACAATGTCTTTGGATTAAACTCCCCCTATATACGCCTTCATTCTTCAAGAAGTATTCTAGGCAAATCAAACATAGCATTTCTGCATCAATCGCGACAAAACGCAAATCAAGTATCGCACAAACACCAGCGATAATAGCACATTTCATCAAATTCTATAATTATTTTTTTCTGTTTTACTTCTTTCGACTGATAAATGTTTCTCTTGTGATAATGAATGCCAATATTTTTTTCAAAACTGTTTAAATCGCGATAATTTTATCAAAAAACAATAAATCTTAATTTCATGCAAATCACAAAAACGATCCGAAAAAAGTATAGCCATCGCAAAAATATGTTGCAAACATAGTATAGCATTCACTCAAAACAAGAATAGCTCAATTTCTCTAAAAAGCGTTATTTATCGAAATCAGATGATGTTTTGTGGGAGAATTGAGGCGAAAACTTAGATACAATCACTTTTACAACAGAATATAGTTTGAAAAAATTAAGAACAATAGAAATAATTCAAAATGAGTGAAAATCACGTTTTAACTTTGTAAAGGAGAACGGTATCGAATTTCTAACATGTTTCAACTTAAAAATTTTCTCAAATAAATTTACATTAATTCTTTAAAGGTTTAATAAGTTTTTTAATTTCTTAAGGTCAAGATCTAGTAAATGAAGGGTGCCTACAGATTTATCAAATTCAAGAAATAAATTCCTTTAATGATGCTTTATAACTTTAGCTTGGTCAAAAATGGTGTTTCGGGGCATAATTTGTAGGAAAATAAGATGAAAACCATATTTTAAACTGTCATTTTCAATGAAAAATTAAGAAAATTAGTCATGAATATGGGAGTTTTTTCCATGTCACACAAACAAAATATATCCAGATTGCCTACAGTCTTTCAGAAAACGGTAATTTGTATGTTCTTGGTCTCTTCTTTTAAATAATGTTAAATTTAATATAGGTATCCGGACTACTTTTCAGGTGATTTCAAATTGAACTCCATGAAAATACTTTAATTTCTACATAATTGTATTAGAGCCGTAAAGTACGGGAAAAAGAAAGTTGAAAGTGATTATGACGTCATAATGGATCTAGCACCAAAAAGTTAGTCTAAGGACATTTACTAGATCTTGACCTTAAAGTTACTTTTACCCATATTTTGCCTGCAGAATTTTTTTTTTACCCATAATGCATCAGAGTACCCAAAGCAATATCGCAAGTGATCCAAATCAAGTAGATTTTCGGTTACCACTTTGTATACAGTGGTCACGCCGAAGTACAATGCCTCGTTTCCTATGAGACGAGTTTTGCTAAAGTACGATGGTCTGATACGCCAAGGCTCGACGGTGTGGAAGAACTATTAAAATTTATGGCGTCATAATAGTCCAACGTCATGACGCTGTCCTGCATTCAGATTTCATTTATTCAGTATTCATCTCGCATACAATTGTACTGATTTTGATTTGCTTATTGTTTTTACCCACCAGAGGTCTTAGGGTTAGTCCTCGTATACAATGCGACTGATAAGGGTTAGTCCTTGAACGCTAACACGTTTCTAAAAACCCACTCAAGAGATTTTGGGATAGTCCTTACGCACCGTTGGACTGATTAAGATCAATCCTGCACCCAGCCAAGTTATTTAGGTTACATGTATATAGTTGTTTCGTTTTTCGACTGATAAGTGTTCGTTTTGCACCTATATCCAAAAGATGAGGGTTAGTCTTTATATTCTATGAAAATTTGAATCTATTTTTTAAAAATTGGTACTTGGCATAGAGCTGCATCGCAGTTTGGCACAGCAGTACTATGACGTAATAAACATTAATTGTTTTCCGCACAGGGATAGATAACTTACAAAAAATTCTCATTACTCAGTGAATTTATTGTACATGCAATTAAACACCGAAATCAAAACCTCAAAAGCATTCATTTTAACATCATTCGTAATAAGTAACTGAACACCAGCGCAAGGCTGGCATGAACTCATATAGTATACCCATAGCTGCTAGCTCACATAAAACATAAATAAATGAAAACAATGGCTAGACCACCTAAAGCAAGTTTTATCCAAGTCAACTTACCAATGGCCCCCATGGCCAGACCCCCTAAAGCCAGACACATAACATTCCCTCTTTCTTTGTCATCTGGGTAAGTCATTGCCAACATTCCCATTCCTAATAATAGCATATGACAAAATTTCAAAAGATCACGGGTATGTGTGAGTATTATTGTAGCCAAAAAGGTATATGCACTTAGATATTTTCATTAAAAAATTCGAATCTTGTATGCACTTACAGCTTACCTACAATTAAATTTATCATTATTCGATTTGATGGTTTTTTTTAATACGGATAAATCATTTTCAGATTTACCTGCGACACTTGAGCAGGAGGAACTAATTCCTTGGACTGCTCTAGCAAAAACAAGGACCCAGTAATTCTCCCCAAAGGCAAATACTTAAAGAAACAAATATGCAAAGGTGAGAATGCAAAATATGTAGAAAATACTAAAAAACAAATATATATAGGTGAGAATGCAGAAAACATGTCATAATATTTTCCCCAAATCAGAAATATGCTTCGGAAAAAGGTGTTCCTTTTTAATTTGTTTTGTTCTAATTCTTCATTGTGTGTGGGTTTTTTTTTTGAGTTCTGCTACATGTAATAAAATGAACGATTTAAGATTAACTTTCTTGATTTGTATAACCATGCCTGATTTATACAGTGCTAGTACTTGTAAGTTACAGGTATTGTAATGTAGAGATAGGTTTCTTTTTTATCCTGAAAGTCTGATTATGCCATTAACAAATTTTTACACTCTTTCATCGTATTTAAGAAACCTCTTCATTTACCGATTGTAGATACGAACATAACCACGAACCCTGTTAACATTGGAATCGTGTATCCAACCCTGAAAGGGAAAGACAGAAACGTATAGTGATCGTTTATTATTAAAATAGAGGTAAAAATTATAAACAAAAATGTAATGTAACCTCCCAAAAGTGGACGATTTAGAATGCGCAGATGGTATGCAATTGAATCTGTAGAAAAAATTCTATAAGATTTGGAGTCTAAAAAAATGTAATATGAAGATGATAAACAATAATTATTTAAAGATTTATTAGACATTACATAAACATATTTTGAACAGAGCCAACTCGGCTCTGACCACAAAGTTTTGATCAGATGCCATGGAGAGGTAAGCATCCGCTGTCATCGGAACACACCACCGTGTGTCCCTTGTCAATATCGGATGAAGAGAAAATGTGAAGAAAATCCGGTGTAAAAATGATGGATTTTACAATCTATAGGGATGACGTGAGTCAACTTTCCATCTATCAAAGACTGAAATTGTAAAAATTCAGTAACCAGTCATTGTATCAACAATACAATTTGTCATAGTTGAATCTTATGCTTAATTATAACTGAGAAAATGTTAATACAGGAACTGTGGATCTAATCCGCGATAGAGAAGACAATCTTTCGCTACTCGAATTATATTGAACCATATCACAATCATAAATTTAGAGTTTATAAACCATAACGTTTAAGTTAATAATAAATTATTCATTGGGTGGGGTTGCAACAAGGGATTACAAGGAAATATGCAGGAATACAACACTAAAATTTAGCAGATTCGCAACATTTCAATCATATGTTCAACTCAACAACGACAAAATTTATATAACTCTTTATATTTATGTAAAGATTTCCAGATTACAACTAGCTGTTTGAAAGCATTTCTTCCACAAAACTGCAAGATATCAGTTTTTTGTGAGGAGCTTTATTAAGTATCTTCTTGATGAAGAGTTTTATTCTATTTTTAGTTTCAGATAGTATTTTGAATGGTTTCAACAGAAATGGTTTATTTTTTTTGGTTAGAAGTTAATACTGAATTTATGTACGTGGAAAATTGATCACACTATGTATATTATAGTATACTATCTGTTCTTTTTTCTTTGATGTTATAATGAAATGATTTGATGTTGAGTACAGTATTTTTCTTTCGTTAAAACGTTGTGTCCCCATAAATTTCAAATAAGAAGGTTGCTTAAAACGACATCACAAATTTGAAGTGCAATTAAACGAGAAACCTGCAGGAAGTTGATGTAATTTACTGGGAAACGGTTTTACACAATAAAATTAATGACTTGATTACAAAATTAATCCGCGCTTTAATAAAACTACTTTCAATAACTTATGAAATCGACATTCACTTAAAGACATTTTATGTACTGATGGCTAAAATTTCAAAGCACCCAGTTATGATTAGTCAAACTATTGTTGTATACAGGGTTATTTTCACCCCTTTTTATTTTGAGTTCGCTCTTTTACACATGCAAATGATTTTGCCCTGTTTTAAATTTGCCCAGTCACAGTTGTGTTTAAAAAATTATACTGTGTTTTTGAGTTCAACTCGTTTTATATTCGCCCAAACACGAGTAGGACAAAAGGGGCGAAAATCAAACCGGGGCGAAAATTTCCCTACATACAGAATTCTACATCATTAAGGTCTTTCCTACCTCACAATTCTAATGGTTCAAAGAACAAAAACTGCATTTATTTTCATTTCATATACTTTAAATTTTTCAATTATTGCAAAAAATATATACTTGTAGGTCGCCATATTATTGAAGATGAGGGACATAAATAAACAAAGGTATATGTCAACAAAGAAAAACTCGCACAATTTTTGTAAACAGTATTATGAAAAATATGTAAAAACTGGTTAAAATACATAATTTCGATGCTGAATGTTCCGAAAGACTTCCTACTTATTAGATACTTTTGAATTGGGAATATCAGGGAAACTATTTTACATTAAAAGTACAATAAAGCAAATGCCTGATTGAAGAGACCTGAGAAGGAGTTATTGCCCTTGTCAACATTTTTTAAAGATTGAATAATTAATTAAATAAAGAAAATATGCATTTTAAAAACTCTTTTACTTAACAATGTTTATTAGTACACTTATTGAAAAGCATTCCTCCAAAAGCTATTGTTCTATCAGGTCTTAATTTAAACTAAAAACCTTTTTTTTTTGCAAAAACCTATGGCATTGTGAAATTACCTGAAGGCACCGACGCAGTTCTTAGTGGAAAGAATATAAAAATATCAGTAGCGTAAAATCATGGGGATTGATTAAACGCATACCTGTGATTAAAAGAGATCGCAAAATGGTGATCTGATATATAATGATGAGCAATACACACTGAAACCAAAAAGTAAATGTTTCTTAAGAGCATCAATTGCCTTGCACTACTTGCAGGAAAAGTTAATATTATGACGCATCAGTTAAAAATTGACATACCTTCCGATATTACAGTCCCCAACTTCAAAGACATTTCTACCACAAGTAATGGTAGCTGGAGATGAACAATTTGAATTAAAACTTTAATTTGAATAGTTATTTTCAAGCAATGGAGTTTTATTACCAAATGTCCTTCAATTCCTATTTTAACATTTTTTGACCAAAAACTAAGCATACACCCCTCGAAGGTGGTTGTAAGCTAAGTATATGGTGGAAGAATTTCCACCTGATGGAATATATATTCCCATAATGGCAAAATGAAAATAAATGATTAAAATTAATAGTTCTCTAATAAATTAATATGAGTTCTAATACTTCTCTCGCTCTCTCATTACCTATTAGTCAGATGCCCAATAAACGGATTGGCAATAAGCTGTATTAATGCCTTTGATGAAAACATCAGTCCAACTTCTACATTCTCGTTGGTTAATTCTGCATGTCGTCGAGTCTTGATTTGAATTTCATCCACATCTTGAATTCTTTCGATCATTGTCTGGTTAACGCAGTCCATTCTGTTCTGACTCTCTGCATAGCTTAATCTCTTGTTGTAGGTACTCTCAAGTCTTTGGATATTTGAATGTAATGTTACATTCATAGGAACACACGTGGTAATTAGGGCAGTTTTGTTCACTGTTTTATTCACATATTCATACGGACTCTTCAGTTTCCTCAAGAAATTTGGTATAATTGGCACTAAGATATACAAAATGTTTAGACATTTTGCATGAAAAAAATACATGTATATGAATTATAATGAAAACTGATATTAAATAATATTGATAATATTGTTTTTATAGAGACATAACATAAAGGCAAATTCAGGGAAGAAATTCTTTTGTCTTTTACCAAGAGTTCATGAAATGGAAAGTCTACCGAATATCTTCCTCTGCATTATACCAGGAGAAGCCTCTATACGGGAAGCATTTAATCATCACATTGTATAAATGAACTACTGTACTTTTATTGACATTACTGATTATATTCTTTTTGTAAAGGTTTAAAATGTATAAAACTAACAGTTAGATTTGATGTCAGTGCTTTTATATTAATTTTTTTTAATCTGTTGATATTCTTTTTGAAAAGGCATGAAAGTATCAAAATAATTATTTTGTCAAGTCTCATTCGACCACAGGAGTAGGCTTATCAGTATCTATTCAGCTGGCAGCCGAATGTCACTCCTAGAAAGCTGTGTTTTCACTGTAGCTTTTTTAGTGATTGATTATTTGATTTGATTTTATATTGATTATTTTATTGTTTGATGACGGTTTGATACTGACCGACAACAGAGAGAAGCATGCTGTCTAGGAAAAGTGCGATGAAAACGACGACAAGAATGAGATACCGAGACTGGCGACATCTGTTGATGCATTCCGACATCTTACTAAGGGAGACTACCTCCTTCACCGCCATATTCTCTCGTCCAAATCTGTAAATATGTAATGAAGCAAGGAATATAATGATAACATTATGACCATAAACTGTACAACTAGAATACAACTTTCCAACTACGAAACAAACAAGTAACATATACAGTGTAGTCTGTTAATATGAAGAAGATATGAAGAAGATTTAAATAACGAGCAGTGATCAACGAGTTGTATATCATACATCCGTCTACACCGATGTCGACTGATTACACTGAACAGTGACTAAGTCCTGCCCTGTTATATAGGGGTCTGCAGGTATAGCGATTTTCCGAACAAAAAAGGCGGACATATGCCTTTTACGAATCGTGTTCAGCTTTAAAGTAAGGTAATAACAATGATTACCCTGTAAAAATTACGAATCGTGAATAGGAGAAAACAAGGAATCCTGGAAGAGCCTGTCGTGGGACAGATATTTAGGAATACTAAACTTCATCTGTTGTCATGTTTAATGTGAGCATTTTAAATTGTTCAGAAGAACGGAGTTATTTATTCATGGTCCAGATTCGATGAAAAAAGGTTGTATTTGCATACAAGGTCATCATAAAAACATACAAAATGCGAAATACAGACATTAATCGAGATACCACTTAAAATCTGTCATATCGACTTATATTTATCGGGTACCTGTCCTGTCTAAGGATTGATCGTATTTAGAATGTGCTCTTGAGCAATGAAACTGAAAGATATACAATTATGTTTGACTTTGTATTTAAATGATAAAGCACCCTGCGTGGGCTGTAGGGCTTATGTATTGTTATAAAGGGAGCTTAGTCAGGGCCCCATCCCTGGTAGCTGTCCTACATATCAACTGTTGATTGTTATAAGTCTAGGAAATAAATGTTTAATGAAAAAAAACTACATACGTGATGTATACAGCGGTCCTTTTAAAAAAAAAATATTTTGATAAATTAAGAAAGGAGGCGCACTTTTTTCTTGAGTCATCATTTCGATGTACAATTGTTTCTCTGAAGTGTTGCTTAGTATGTCGCCAAAGCGACAAAGTTTGACAAAGCCATAACCATTGGAACAGGGGAAAGGGGCACTGAAGTCTGCCCCTCCCCAAATAATTTTGCCGATATACCGGTATGATATACGATAGAAAACACAGCCACTATATGCTAGAGCACTCTCAATAATAACCTGTTATGTTCTAATTCGTTACTTGAATATCAACGTCATTAATTGACACTTGATCATATATGACGCACTTTCCGTTTACTGCACTTTTAATTATGTATCCTGCTCTTTCATCATAATAATTGTGACAGGGTTAAGAAAATATCATTGAGATTACGCAACAAAATTAACTGGACAAATATTTATAAACGATTACAGATTTCTTTCAAATCCATGAAGTCAGTACAGCGTTCGTTTCGTGTTCAGGAGGTCGTGAGTTCGTATTTGGGCCGCAACTGACCTATGGGTAGCAAATGTTCCTTCACCATGCGTTCGTCAAGATGAAGTGAATATGCGTCGGGTCTCAAAAAACCGAGGCCCCTTGTCACGGTAGGCGTTGGCAAGACAAAGATCCCTCACTGCTCTATTGCCCTGAGTTATAGTCAAAATTTGAAGCCCTTCACCGGTATATGTTGACGTCCCTATATGAGTGAAATATTCTCGAATGGGACGTTAAACAATATACAATCAATAAATCAAATCCATGATAGCAAATATGAAAATAAAATTTAATTTAAACTTCAGAATCAAGTTATTATTCATTCTGCATGTGTTTAACAAGAACCTTCATTATACTGCATTGTCAAAATATATTTTGCAAAAAGATTTCGGAGTTGACTTTCTGAATGTTGAAATTATGAAAGTAAATATATTTCTTCAGTTAAAAATACTTAGTTTCATGATCACTGGAAAATAAACTTTATCTTTTATTTAATCTAACTTTACCCATCTTTTTTCCCAAGACTTTAGTTTAAAAAAATTCCTTTCTATTTATAAAAATACTTTAAAAGCATTAAGGCTCTGATATATTTGATAATACTGAAATTTAAATTGTCAATATGACAATTTGAGTTAACTCAATATTATTTTAATTATGTCCTAAGAAAGAAATAGCCTTACCTATTTGAATATAAATCTCAGTTTCTGTGACTTTGGTATTTTTGTATTTGTCACAACTATAGCACCAGCTAAATGTTCTGTATTCCACTACTTCATTTGTTCATAATTAAGCTCTTGACACAACTAGAACTGAAATTTGTACAATAACGTGGAAAAATCAATTCTTTTTTCATTGTATATTTATATATAGAAAATACTAAATGATGTGTGCAGCAATCAAAACATATAAACTGACAGATGGTAGCATAATTATTCTTTTATTACAGAAGAGACAATTGACAGATGAAAAAGAAATAAAAAGTTAAAATGGAATTTTCGAAAATGATGTGCATCATATTTATAACTTCTTAAAGTAAAACCTTGAAAGTTAACCTCTTTAAATATAACAAGATTAAGGGTTGATCCAAAAGTTATGTCACCACTTTGATAAAATTGAATATCTTTGGATATGGCTCTTTTTCCGAAGATTTAATGTGTTTGTCTTTTTCATTCCAAGAAAAATACACTTTCAAGCGTGACGTTTAGTTGTGACACGGCGACACCTCCTATGTTTTATGTTTTGAACATCTATAAAATAAATTCAGTTAGACATTATTAAATGTAAAATTCAATGTTATTTAGACGGATATCTGTATCTTTTGGTATATTATATTTGATTATATGACACCAAAAACAAAGGATATGAACACTGTGACGTTACTTTCGGATCAACCCTCGTACATTTTATACGTAATAAATTAACGTAGTTATATTACATTTAGAACTAACTTAAAATATAACAATGGAGGAATATAATAATTATAGAATTCTGTGGAATTTACTACAACTTTATAATGTATGTTCTCACACATGGACACTGGTTTTAATACAATAGTAACATTCTGTACAAGGTTGATAAATTATTTTCTAATTGAGAAATATTATTTCATCCATACACATTTAATTAAAATACATTGCAGTAAAATTAGATATATATATATATATATATATATATATATTATATATATATATATATATATATATATATATATATATATATATATATATATATATATATATATATATATATATATATATATATATATATATACATATTTACTAGATCTATTAATAGGCATTTTTTCGGCATTAAAGTAGGATTCTTCTCTCACAAAACTGTATTTCTTGTATTTAAAAATTAATGAAATTTTCACAGAATCATGAAGACAATATGACTAAGTGATGGTATTAGTTTGATTAGTTTTGGCCTTTTATATCAGAGTCAAGGTCAGGTAAAGATCAAAACCTTTTACCTGGTCATTAAAAATAAAAATAACTGCATCCAATCATGAGATAGGGTCTTCTATTTCAAAAGATTAGATGTTTTTCTTTTTGAACAAAAAGATATAACCATATAAGGTCTATAAGATGGTATTACCAAATTGACACAAATAGTTTAACAAAAATGGAATTTTCTCTATTTTTAAATTTTTTTTAGGATATTTAAGTTATTTTAATATGTTTATATTATAACAGTTATCTGTAGGTGCTATACATTCTGTTTGGTTCAAATTTTGCAATCTACTTTTTTAGAATCATTAATTCAATACCGATAAACCAGTTAAAGATATCGAAAAATTAAGACCTTCAATGTGAGAGGCCAGAACAAACACTACCTATTGTTATACCCTTATAATTATCCTTCTATATATTTATTACTAATAAAAAGTCCAACGAAAGAAATGTTTATTACATCTGTCTAACAATTTCACTTTTAACCGCTCTTACATAAGAATTGTTAGACCGCAAAATCACTGTTACTGTTACGTGACAAGTAATTAATCATCGTTCAATACCGGCTACGCGGAAATAGCAAAGATAAGAGCTAAAAGAGCTGTAGCAAACAAAAAGGTAAGGAAGAAGGGAAGAGTATTTTTGAAATAAATAATTTTGTGATACAATAAATATATAATTAATTTTGTTCTTTCTCATCGTGATATTTTATTCACTGATTAAGCCATAATTTTCCATATATACAGTAATTGATAAAATATATATATTAAATTGATATCTTAATAGCAGTGAATATAACAAAACATATATATATATACCTGTATATATATATATATATATATATATATATATATATATAAATGTTAATATATATAAATCATGTTCAGACTCTCCAGTGTGCGTATATTATAGTTAACTTTCAACTTTTGTTTTCTTTAGGTTTGTATTTCAAGACGTTATGTAAATACTTTCTATCCTTAACCCTTATACATTAACTGAAGTTGTTTAAAAACCTTCATAATTATATCGAATATCTTCTCAGAAAGACTAGTTGTAATGTTATCCCAATCTGCATGTTAATTTGCCACACCATCTCCTTTGCACTCATTTTAAGCAGTAGACAATTCATCATTCAGAATGTGAATAGCTATATACTCTAGTTTGCAGTTATGTGTAAAGTCTTACGTTACGTCACAATCATTTTGGTCAGGTGCATCCAACGTAAACAATTCACGTAATTGGTCAATTCATATTTTCAACATAGACACGGAAATGGTCTGTTGCAACCAATCAGGGAAAAGAAAAAAGTTCCAGTCGTAAAGCATGCGGTTAGGAGGCGTGTACAATTTACCTTGAGCACAGCTGTCAACGGTAGATCGTGACGTAACGTAAAAATTGACACTCAGCTGCAAACTGTAATATATCTTGCAGTTTTGCAGTCCTGTCTTCGGGTTAAGGGGTTAAATTTTGGTTGAAAATAGCTTTGTTTTATATTAACATGGTTTTCATAGTATCTCTTACATTGCAGTAGCCAAAATAAAAAAACTGGTCGTGTGCAAAAATGTTTTGAAAAATACTACATAAAGTACAGGAGCTTTTTGAACATGAATTGAAGAGGAAAATGACTTGGCCCTT